AACCCTGGACCCTAAACCCTAAGCCTAATCATCTTCGGCGACTTGCAGCACAGGCTGGACGAGGTTGTGGCCCAACCTGCGATCTTCCGCGGACACAGGGCGCTCAGGGCAGCTGCCGGTTTAGGGTATCGGGGTTAGGGTTTAGGGTTTAGGGTTTAGGGTTTAGGGTTTAGGGTTTAGGGTTTAGGGCCATGTACAAGCCTGAAGTGTAGGTAAGGAGTGCAACTTCTTGAGGCCCCTTAGTACAGTTATCATGCTCATTACCAATGTCCCCGTAGTATATGGATGCTGGTGGGTGCTCTGACTGGCTCTAGTGCAGGAAAATTCTAGTGGCACCCCCACCCACCCCAGTTTACCTTACCCCACTAGGGTTTAGGGTTGTCTAACCTAAGCCTCAAGCCCTGTTACCCTACACCCGAAACCCTAGCCTACACCAGCCGACCCCACCCAACCTACGCTACCCTCCCTCCTAAACATCGGCCCAAGCCGGCTGTGGAATTTCCTGGCTGCGGATGTTTCTCTGAGTGCTAGAAGTCGGAGAAGTAGGGTTTAGGGTTTAGGGTCTAGGGTAGTTTAGGGTTAGTAGTCGCAGTAGTACGACGAAGAGCAAGTCGCAGCAGCAGCCAAAGCAGCAGCAGTAGCATCAGCAATCGTAGTCCGAAGTAGGAGCACTGCAAGCTAGGCTTTCCGTTGGTGTTGTGAGCGATGATCTTGGCGGCCGCTACGTGTTTAGTTTTTCCGACTTAGCGTTGCTGCTAGCATATTTGGTGCCTTATCGATCCAACACCCGTTACTTTTAATACACTCTGACAATGCACGTTCATAACAGCTGTAAGCACGATACCTGAAAAGTATCACAAGACTAACATAGTAAGTCGGCTGTGAGCAGAGTGTTTAGGGTTTACGGTTTAGGAACCCGAGTTAAGGCATGCATAACTCTGCTTGAGTGTTATTGACCGCAGTATGATTTTGGCAAGCACCTTTCCGAGGTGGCAAAACTCCTGAAACGCCGGCCACCGCGGAGGCGAATGCTGGGAATTAAGCTATTGCACTAACTGTGAGATTTTTGAGGTGAACTACATGGGCCCAACTAGTAGCTGAATAGGCAGCCTTTCGCTGTGCAGTGAAAAGTTACCTTCATTCATAATCATAACATAAGCCTGTTCGCGCCAGGGAGCTGGGCAAGCAGGGTTGTTGTAGTGCGGCAAGACTGAATGCACAGGTACAGGAGTGCTATAGAGTAGGTAACCTTAACTTTTTTTGGGTGCCATAATCCCTATACCCTAAACCCTAAACCCGACGTACTCCCAAAGATTACCAGGATACTGGACAAGTAGACCCTAAACCCTAAAACCTAAACCCCTAAACCCCTACACCCTTAACCCTAAACCGTGAAAGGCCCTTAGCAGTAGCGCTCTTGTAGACCAAGCCCAGAGCCTTAAATTAAGGACCCAAAAAGCACATAAGTATAAGCTTTTTTATAGGGATATCCCTACCTTATTGGGCTTCATTATAAGAAGATTTATATGGGATATCCAGATCCTAATTTTTGCTTATGTGCTTTTTTGGGGCCCTACTAAACCCTCCATAGTGATGGATCAGGTTTAGGGTTTAGGGGTTACGGCACAACAGTGTAGTGGTTTAGGGTTTTAGGGTTCAGGGTTCAGGGTTTAAGTGTTACGGTGTAGGGGTTTAGGGTTCTAGGGTTCAGGGTGTGGGGTTTAGGGCTTAGGATAAGGGATTGGGATGGGAGTCATCGCCCTCGGGTTCAATGCTGCACTCTGGGGCTGGTATCCTAGCACGAAACCCTAAACCTGTATCCCGTAAAAAACAAAACAAATCATAAAGGCCTAATGTAGGGGCCTAAATATTTACCTTTTTCTATTCTGAGGGGCTCCTTATTATAATTATACTATAACGGGCCCCCCCAAAAACCCAATTCTAATTATTAAGGCCCCTGTATTAAAGCCTTAAGCCTTCCTCCTTTTAGCCAAAACACTAAATCCATCTGAATACCTATGCACGAAACCTTGCAAGCCCCAACCCCTGAGGCTCAAAATCGCCCAAAAGCCCTATATCGTATGGTCTTTGGGCCCAAAAGCCTTAAAACCCTAAACCCTAAACCCTACTACACTTAGAGGCGCTTAAAAAAAAACCTACTACCCTAAACCCTACCCTAAACCCTAAGCCATAAACCTTTGCCCTAAACCCTATAAACCCTAAGCCCTAAACCCTACTAACCTAAGCCCTAAACCTGAATAGCGTTCGGGAAAGTTCTTAGCAGAGCAGCGTCGGAGTCTCCTGGAGCGCGGAACGGTTCAACCCCAAAGCCACAAGGGTTCAGGGTTTAGGGTTAGAGGGTTTTGGAGATCAGGGTGAGTGGGTTTTTAGGGTTTAGGGTTTAGGGTCAGTGGGCTTTCAGGGTGTGGGTTTTACGGTTAGTGGGTTTTTAGGGTTTAGGGTTCAGGATTAGCGGGTTTTTAAGGTTTAGGGTTCAGGGTTAGAGGATTTTGAGGGTTTAGGGTTAACGATTCAGGGTTTAGGGGTATGGGGTTTTAGATTCATTTCGATCTCTTTCGCTTTAGAGTTTGGGGTCTAGGGGGTTTAGGATTATGGGGTTTTAGGGTTTGATGTGTAGGAATTTGGTTTTAGGGTGTGTCAGGGTAGCAGGCCCCAAGGCGCCAATGTGCCAAAGAAGACAACTCCCTAAGCCGTCACACTTCAACTCGAAAGCACCGAAGCCTTCCCCTTAAACCTCCTTACAGCTAGGGTTTAGGGTTTAGGGTTTAGGGTTTAGACCTGAACCCTCAAAGCGAAAGCACCTTGAAAGCCCAACCTGTCTGTTACAACAGCGACTTCTGTTTATCAAAGGCAAGAGCAACCCCGTCCCGCCCGAAACCCTAAGCCCCAAACCCTAGCCCGTAAAACCTAGCCCACCCCAGGCAAAAATACAAACTCAAAATTAAAAGCAGTGGCACTCCCTCCCCCCCACCCCTCCAAGAAAAAACCGGAGACAGCCACACCCTAAACCCTAAACCCTAAACCCTAAACCCTAAACCCTAAACCAAACCCTAAACCCTAAACCATCTCAGGGCGAAGACAAAAGTGAGCATCAAGGACGAGACCGAGGGATTTGAAA